AACGGGCTGGAGAGGGGCTGAATGGCCTCCTCCTGCGTGGAGTGACTGTGAGCTTGCCTGCCGGTTCGATCGGCTCGGACTGAGCGCCTTCCCCCCCCCACCACCCCCACCGGTGAACCCCACTTCCTGTTCCAGATGACCAACGTGCCCCCAAAGCCCCCACGATGTCCGACTTCATCGCTCAGCCCCGGAGGAAGGAATCTCGCAAAGGCTCGAGACAGGATAAGCCCTACAGGTGAGGAGAGGGAGAGAAGATTCCTGGGATCGATTTCCAACCCATCCCACCACCCGCGCTTGGATTAAAGCCGTCTCCAACAACGCACAGCCCCCAAATACCACCCCCCATCCCCCCGCCCGCCTCGCCCCGACATGCAGACAAAGCACTGTGTTGTAATCTGAATCGCACTCTCTTATGTTCCTCCCGCAGTATGCATGACAACCGGTGGGAACAGCCTGAGGAAGAGAAACAGGTGGTACTTGCTCCCGCATCCCACCCCCCCACCCCCCACTCTCCTCTTCCCCCCCCCATCCCTCCTACCTACCTCTGCGATCTAACCTACTACAGACCGCCCCCCCCACCCCCACATGCTACAGAAACACAGACAGAGAGACGCACACACACATCACAGAGACAGACAGAGACACATACACAGATAGAGACACACACACGACAAAGACAGAGAGAGAGACACACACACCCACACACAGACAGAGAGAGAAACACACAGAGAGAGAGAGAGAGAGAGAGAGCCGTACACACAAAGATAGACACAAACACATACACACAAAGATAGACACACACACACACACACACGTGGGGCCTGGTCTGACCTCATGGTTCCTTGTTACCGACAGGAAAAGCAGGACAAAGTGAAAGACTCGGAGCCTGTGAGTGTGGAGACCGAGGACCAGGATGATGATCAGTGGGAAGATGCCAGCGATGAAGAGGAGGAGGAGGAGGAGGAGGAGGAGGAGAAGGAACGGGGCGCAGACTTGTCAGGGGAGAGAGAGAAGGCGACAGTCAGGGAGAGAGAAAAAGAGAGGGAGAGACAGAAGGAGAGAGAGAGGGAAAGCGAGAAGGAGAGAGATAGGGAAAGAGAGAAGGAGAGCGAGAGGGAGAGAGAGAAGGAGAGAGAGAGGGAAAGAGAGAAGGAGATAGAGAGGGAGAGAGAGAGGGAAAGAGAGAAGGAGAGAGAGGAGAGTGAGAGAGAGACGCCGGAGAGGAAGGCGGTGGCGGAGGGAGTGCGGGAGAAGCAGCCATCGCAGGAGAGGGGAAGGAAGAAGAAAAGGAGGAGGAGGAGGCGAAGAAGGAGGCAACTCAACAGCAACAGCCCCACGAAGCTAGTGCTAAAGATCAGCGAAGCAGAAGGTCCCGAGACCACCCGAAGCTCCGCATCCCCCCGGCCGAAACCAGGCCCGAACCGGCGGAAATCCAGCCCAAGCCCCTCAGTCCCTTCTCCCCCGACGAGGGGTACCGGCCGGTCACCGACTGGGCCGAGGAGATGGAGGTGGCTTCCCCGAGAGCCAACGTCCAGGACCACCCTTTGCCGGGCTCGCCCGCCGTCGCCCGCCTCCAAGAGGATGCCCACAGAGGTGAGAGTAAGACCCCCACCACACGCAAAACTAAGTCACTCACTCACTCACGGGAAGCAGCGGGAAAGCTTGGCCAGACAGCGCTGGTTCTCTCTCTCTCTCTCTCTCGATGGCCGAGTGGGTGTGGGTTTCGCCGGTTAGACCCCAGCAGTTACCCCAACGCACACTCTGGCCTCTTCCCCCCCCCCCCCACAAGCCTTGGTTCTCCCCAACCTGCGCCTAATACTCTCAGGAATTAGTTAAACAGGGGCGTCCCTCCAGAGAGAGAGAGAGAGAGAGAGAGGGCGCATCCCATCCCGACAATCTCTTCTCTCTGGGGTTCCCGGGTGTGGGGGGGATGTGGGGAATTCTCAGTCGGGTTTGGAGACGCTTAAGCAAACGGTGACGGGTTTCCGTGTGTGTCAGACGAGGTTTAACGGGGGCTGTTGTTGTTGTTGTGTTGTATACAGAGGACACGGAGACTGGAGAGGACGAGAAGCCGGAGAGTGAGACTGTCGATGGGGCTCAACCAGACCTCGAGAGCCCGACACAGCAAGAGCCCAGGAGCTTGTCGGCGGAGACATTGCCAACAGCCTCAGAGCGGGTGGGGAGCGGGGGCGCGACCAGTTCTGCCCCCAGCGATGCCCCCGCCGAGCGAGGGGCGAACCTGGCGGAGGAGAGCGGCCAAGCCCTCGCTGGGTCAGACCCACAGTCGCCAGAGGGGAGCGAAACCCTTCGAGGAGCTGAGGAACAAGGAGACGAGGCTTCAGGTCAGCAGCCAACGTCACACTCCATCTCCGGGTCAGGTTGTGGGGTTCGAGCTCACAGAGACGTCGCAAAGCGCTTCTCTGTCAGGTGTGGTGACTGTGCTTTTGGGGGCGAAACTCCTGCCTGTAAAGGGGGGGGGGGGTGTGTGAAGGGGAGCGTCGCCTCGTCACAGAGACCCCCGGCCCTCCGACCAGGTGTCGTACCGAGAAAAGGAATTAGATCGTTAGACCCAGAGAGGACCCGGGTTCCATTCCCGGTCAGGTCAGGGAGAAACCTTGGGCAAGTTTCCTTACTCCCCCCTCTCCCCCCCCACCCGACACACACCCACACACACACAGACACACACCCACACACACACGCACACACGTGCCTCTGTTTACCTTTACAGTGGGGACTAGTTGGGTTAGAGCGGGGAATGGGGGAGTGAGGGTCGCGAGTTGCTGTCCGCGGTTCGATGGTGACCTGCGTCTGCTCTGTCCCCGCAGTTGACCCGCGCGTCTCGGCGTCAGCCCTGGACGGTCGGAGCTCGGGACGTCCCGAGGAGAGCGAGAGAGTGGCATCAGGTGCAGTTCACATTCACCGGCTCCGAGACTGTCTGCTTCCGTAAGGCTCGCGGCCCTCTTGGCTGAGCTCTCTCCCTCTCCCTCTCTCTCTCCCTCTCCCTCCCTCTCTCTCTCCCTCTCCCTCTCTCGTTCTCTCGCTCTCTCTCTCCGCACGCTCTCGCCTCCCACCGACCTAACGCTCCACTCTCTCTCTCTCGTCGGATCCTTAGCCTCTCAGCCTCCGACCAACCCTCCTGGCTGTCGCTCGCCATGTCCTCTCCCCTCTCCCCCCCCCCCCAAAGCTGTCCACTGTCCACCGCCCCCAGAGATATCATTTAATTGTCCGGCACAAATCTCTCTCTCTCTCGGAAACAAACCGCACCTTCTGCCCCCATCTCGTCTCTTGTCTGGGAACCGTAGGGTTTGCCGTTCGCTCCGCGGGTTCCTTCGGAATTTGATTATTGGTTTATCCAATTCTCCCCTCATTCTCCCCTCCCCCCCTCCCCCCCCCCCTCCCCCCCCTCCCCCCCCCCAAAAACAGCTGCTGACCAACACGACTGACGTGAATTTTGTTTTTTATCCGCAGGGTGAAATAAACCGAGAGAGATTGCGTCGTCCGTGTGTTCCGGAGAAAAAAAGGGTTCTCATCACAAGGCGGGAGAGAGAGAGAGAGAGAGAGAGAACGAGAGAAGAAAGAAAGAGAGAGAGAGAGACGGTGAGATCTGACTCTAAAGCTCGTGTCTAAGATAAACGCAAACTCTTCAGATCTAACGTTAAGACGGCAACAGAAATCAACGATTTTGAGATTTTTTTTCTTTCTAATCAAACCCTTATTTTTTTTGGCTGTGCGCGTGTGTGTGTGTATGACTGTGTGTGACTGTGTGTGTGTGATTGTCTGTGTGACTGTGTGTGTCTGACCGTGTGTGTGTCTGTGTGACTGTGTGTGAGTGACTGAGTGTGTGATTGTCTGTGTGTGATTGTCTGTCTGACTGTGTGTGAGTGACTGTGTGTGTGTGACTGTGTGTCTGACTGTGTGTGTGTGTGTGACTGTGTGTGTGTGTGACTGTGTGTGTGAGTGACTGTGTTGGTGTCCCGAGGCTGTGTTTGGTGCTGGTTTTGCAGTGAACACACTCTCTCTCCGCTGTCTGTGTTGTGGCCACTCAGCCCCCGATGTCTTAACGGGTTCAGTGAGTGAGAGAGAGAGAATCGGGTCAACAATCAACACAAATAAAACGTGATTCTCCCCCAAGTGCTCTTCACATCAGTTGGTGTTTTGTGTGTGTGTTTCTCTGTGTGTGTGTGTGGTTCTGTCTCTGTATGTGTGTGTCTGTCTGTGTGTGTTTTTCTCTGTGTTGTGTGTTTCTCTGTGTGTGTGCGTGTGTGAGTGTGACTTTCTCTGCGTGTGTTTGTCTCTGTGTGCACATGTGTGTGTGTGTGAGTCTGTGCATGTGTGTGTATGTGCATATGTGTATGTGTGTCTGTGTGCATGTGTGTGTCTGTGTGTGCGTGTGTATGTGTGTGTGTCTCTCTCTCGCTGTCTTGTCTCGAGAGGCCTATGGAGAGAATTCTGTTATTCTCTTAAGAAGGAAAAACAAATTAATTGCTCAGGTTTGGAGCAGTGACACCTCCCGTTTATCTCAGTGCTTTTGCTTAGACTCACGTGTCAGTCTGAAACACAGTCACCCTCTTCAACAACAACAACAACTTGGATTTACACAGCCCCCTCTCTCTGTGTGTGTGTGTGTGTGGTGTAGGGTCCTGGAGCCCTTCACTGGAATGTAGTGACTGTCTCTAAACCCTACAGCCTGGCGAGCTTCCTCCCTGTACCCTGGTCAGCTATTAATTTCCCCGTAAAAAGGCATCTGGGTCACTCAAACCCACGACTGTTTGGCCCGCAAAAAGCACACAGTCACTTCGCTTGACGCCGGGCCCCGCGAAGCACTTTCGCCACGTCTCCCTGTCAAAGGCCAGGACCGCAATGGATAGCGTCGATGCCTTTGCGGCCGCGACACTCCAGAGGGACGGTTCCTGCCCAGGGCTTCGGCGTCTGAATGACGTCAAAACGGGTGTTTATTTGTTTGCTGTTAAGTCACCGCTTGAGGGAAAGAGAGAGAGAGAGGAGGGAGGAATGAGGGAGGGAGGGACGGGAAGGAGGGAGGGAGGGAGGGACGGGAAGAAATACCGTAGGGACTGGTTACTGATGTTGACATCAACCGACAAAGTAACTGGAAGGAGTGTCTCGATCTGTCTCTGATGCTTTGCACACACTCGACTCTTGTCACAACAGGCGGACAGCCTTCACCGGCTGACAGCAAGTCATGAGGACTTAGGTCTCTCTCTCTCTCTCTCTCCTGCTGTGTGTTGGTGTGTGCGTGTGTGTTGGTGTGTGCGTGTGTGTTGGTGTGTGCGTGTGTATTGGTGTGTGCGTGTGTTGGTGTGCGCGCGCGTGTTGTGTTGGTGTGCGCGCGTGTATTTCTTTCGCCGGCGGGAAAGTGGTTCAAAGTCTTCTACCCCATCTCCCCCCCACCCCCTGAAAACCCAGCCGTCTTCCCCACCCCCCCACCCCACACACGCACCCTCTCCCCCCACTCCCCACCAGCCCTCGTCACGATGAACAAGAGAGACAGGATGGGGGGAGGAGGAAAGCCGGAGAAAAAGAAGAGCAAACTCCTCACGAAGGCGCAGAAGACTTGGATGAAGCTGGTGACGGTTTTCGGGTACCTCCTGTGTGTGTCCATGGCCTCTGTGATCCTGGTGGTTTACTACACGATGATCTGGGACCCCTTGAAGCCCCCCTCGGCCTCCGCCAACCTCACCCCCACCCCCACTCCGGACCCCCGCAGGCTGGCGACCGGGGGAGATGAGGAGGGGGTCTCCCTGGCCAGCGGGTGGGCCGGACTCGCTGGAGGAGCTTTCACCCCCGACGAGAGCCACGGGGTCACCACCGAAGCCGGGCACCACCGCCCCCCCACCCCGATCCAGACCACCTCGGGCCTGGTCCGGACCCCCAGCCTGGCCTGGCCGGGAGGCGGAGAGAAGGTGCCCCCGGCGCGGGCGGGAGCTGAGGGGGAGCCAGAGGGCAGCGGGCGGAGAAGGTTTGGGGTGAACGACTTCAGGTCGAGGCCGGGAACCTCTTCGGATTTGGACGAGACTTTGGGGCCAAACTCTTCGGCCCGACTCGAGTCTAAACCCCCGACCGGCTGGTTCCAGGTTCCCCCCGTGACGAGCCAAGACCCCCCACCAGATCGGGGGGCGAGGGAGCCAGGGTTTGGGGCGGGGGACGATGGAGAGGCCAAGCTGAGGGCAACGGCAGACCCCGAACCCACAGAGGACCGGGCCGGCAATGGGGCAGGAGCGCCCGACCACACACTCGCGCCCCGACAGTTAGACGAGAGGGGGAGCGAACCCCCTCTGGATGGTAGGGCGCAACTCCCACCTACGTTTGGACCCCCGGGGTAAACCTTTCCCCCTTCCCCCCCCCCCCCCACCCACCGCCCCCAACACTCTGCCCTCGTCACCGAAGTTCGCTCTTTGCAATATATATTTTTCGACGGAAACCAAAAAAAAAATTGTAACTTGCGATATATTTTTGGGGCTTAAACCTGTAAAAAAAAATGTTGATTTTCTTTTCTCTCTCTCTATCTCTCCGTCTCCTTCTCTCTCTCTTTGTCTCCCACCCCTTCTCTCTCCATCTTCTCCCCCTCACCTTCTCTCTCTCTCTGTCTATTGCACTTTCTCTCCATCATCTCATCCCTCTCCTCTCTTTTTCTCTCTCCCTCTCTCCCCCTCGCGCCCCCTTTCCCCACACCCCGACACCGCTAAAGTAAACGTAAATGTTTGTGGGATCGTCAGCGACTGGAAGTCAGAGCCCTTTCGCCTTTCCGCAGCTAAATATTTTCGCAGACATTTTGGGGGGAAATAACAGCGAAACCTGAATGAGTTCTCCGGTAGTTGTGTTCGTTCGTTCGCTGCGAAACAGCAAACGGATCGCAATCAAAACAGAAGCAAAACAAAGTGTATTAAAAGTCAATTTTGCACAAAAAAAAGGGACTGATCCGTTATTGTTATCGTTCACTATTAGTTATTATGATTATTTGCTGTCGTCGTTGACAGTAAAGTGCGTAAAACGGCTTTCGAGGCGAACAACACAGAACGAGAGGAGTTTCTGACAAAAAAAACCTCCTCCCCCCAGAGAGAGAGAGAAAAAACAGTCACTTCGCTCCTGTTATTGTGAGATGTTACTTTGCGCAAATTAACTGCTGCAGAAACTCCCTACGCTCTTCTTTTCTCTTAACGCGATCTTTTTTTCTTTCTTTTTCTCTCTCTTTCCTCTTTTTCGCTCTCTCTCCCTCTCCCCTTTTCCTCTCCCTCTCTCTCCTGCACTTTCTCTCCATTATCTCCCTCTCATTTTCTCTCTCTCTCTCTTTTCCTCTTTACCCTCTTTTTCTTTGTGTCCCTCTGTGCCCCCAATGTATTAGGCTGTGAGGTGACGTGTACACACGTGTGTGTGGGTGTGTGTGTGTGCGTGTGTGTGCGTGCGTGTGTGCGTGTGTGCGCGTGTGTGTGTGCGTGTGTGTGTTTGGGATTGTGTGTGTGTGTGCGTGTGTGTGTGCGTGTGTGTGCGCATGTGTGTGTGTGTGCATGTGTGTGTGTTTGTGTGTGCGCGTGTGTGTGTGCGTGCGCGTGTGTGTGTGTGCACGTGTGTGTGTTTGGGATTGTGTGTGTGTGTGCGCGTGTGTGTGTGTTTGGGATTGTGTGTGCGCGTGTGTGTGTGTGCGCGTGTGTGTGTGTTTGGGATTGTGTGTGCGTGTGTGTGTGCGTGTGTGTGTGCATGTGTGTGTGTGTGCGCACACCTGGGTCCTCACTCATTCGATTCCCGAGGGTGACATCTAAACCATTTGTTCACCTGAGCTCAGCCTCGCCCTTGAACCACAGGAACAGGAGGAGGCCATTCAGCCCCTCGAGCCTGTTCCACCATTCTGTTAGATGATAATAAATCGCGCCCACAAACAGCGACGTCCCCACAAACAGTCGTGGGTTGAGTGACCACATTTTATTTGGGGTGGGGGGGTGGGGGGTGGGGGTGGGGAGAGAGCTCAAAGACCTCGACAAGGGGGTGAAGGGGGAGGGAGTGGGGGGGGGGGGAAAGTGGGGGCTCAAACCCCTGACTTGTTGGCAGGACCTCAGACAGAGATGAGAGAGAAAAAAATCACGATCAAAGCTTTGAGACAAAGTGCTCCTTCTCCGGAGACTAAATATAGATGGATTTTGCCGGAGGTTTCACTGAAGAGCGATCCTTAAGAGGTTCTTAAAGAGGACACAGTCACTACACTTTACAGAGAGAGAGAGTGTGTGTGTTCCAGTCCAGACGGTGGGCGGGGGTGGGGGGGGGAATTTTCTTGTGTAGGTGGGGGTATGTGTCGGGCAATAATAACAATAATAATCATTTAACCCAACGCCTTATCATTCGTCGCGACGTCTCAAAGCGCTTCAAACGATACACTGCGAGGGGTCTAACCCCTGAGCTACAGGGGCTGTGGGGTGGGGGGCGAGGGGTCTAACCCCTGAGCTACAGGGGCTGTGGGGTGCGAGGCGAGGGGTCTAACCCCTGAGCTACAGGGGCTGTGGGGTGCGAGGGGAGGGGTCTAACCCCTGAGCTACAGGGGCTGTGGGGTGCGAGTGGGGGGGGTCTAACCCCTGAGCTACAGGGGCTGTGGGGTGGGGGGTGAGGGGTCTAACCCCTGGGGTACAGGGGCTGTGGGGTGGGGGGTGAGGGGTCTAACCCCTGAGCTACAGGGGCTGTGGGGTGCGAGGGGAGGGGTCTAACCCCTGAGCTACAGGGGCTGTGGGGTGGGGGGCGAGGGGTCTAACCCCTGAGCTACAGGGACTGTGGGGTGGGGGGCGAGGGGTCTAACCCCTGGGGTACAGGGGCTGTGGGGGGGGGGTGAGGGGTCTAACCCCTGGGGTACAGGGGCTGTGGGGTGGGGGGGTGAGGGGTCTAACCCCTGGGGTACGGGGAGACTCAGTTGCACTCGGTGATGGGGAGAGGACTTTGCTCGGACGCAGCTCAGGTTCGAGATGAAAGTCCGTCCACGTGACGGTGAAGTTACTCGAATGGCACTTAAGGGAAATAAACGTGAATCGGTCACTGTTGCTCTGGTGACCGCACAGAGGAAAGCTCTTAACTCACAACTTTCTAAAGACGGAGCTCTTAAACCGAGTACTCAAACACACGTGTGACCTTTCAGCCTCAGGGAGAGAGCGCGAGAGAGAGAGAGAGAGAGAGCGAAGGCAGTGCGTGAGAGCTCGAGAGTGTGTGAGAGTGAGTGTGTGAGACAGTGTGTGGGAGTGTGAGAGAGTGTGTGAGAGTGTGAGAGAGTGTGTGAGAGTGAGTGTGTTGAGTGTGTGAGAGTGTGTAGCAATGTGAGAGAGTGTGAGAGTGAGTGTGTGAGTGTGTGAGAGTGTGTGGGAGTGTGAGAGAGTGTGTGAGAGTGAGTGTGTGAGTGTGTGAGAGAGTGTGTGGGAGTGAGTGTGTTGAGTCTGTGAGAGAGTGTGTGTCTGAGTGTGTGTGAGTGTGTGTGTGATGGAGAATGTGTGAGTGTGTGAGAGTGTGTCTGTGATTTGGTCACTCAATTCACGGCTGTTTGTGTTTCTCCCACAAAACACACAGTCACTACACTTTACGGTGTATCCCGGGAAGCGCTCTGAGGCGTCTCGCAGACCTGATCCGGCGCCGGGTCACACCCGGGGATTGTTATTATTAATTCATTGAGACTTTTGGAGACGTTGTGTGTAATCGCTGGACACAAAGGGTTAACAAATTGGGAGTGAACACACACACACACTCACACACACATAAACACGGACACACACATTTACACAGACACACACAGATACACGCGCACACGCATATACACATATACACACACACACACATACACACAGATACACACACACATATGCACAGATACACACACATATATACACAGATACACACACACACATATACACAGATACACATATCTACACAGATACACACACACACACATATACACAGATACACACACATATCTACACAGATACACACATACACACAGATACACACACACACACATATACACAGATACACATATCACACAGATACACACACAGACACATACACACAGATACACACACATATCTACACACACACACACATATGCACAGATACACACAGACACATACACACACACACATATGCACAGATACACACAGACACATACACACACATACACACACACACACACATATACACAGATACACACACAGACACTCTCCCACAAACACACATCCTCTCTCTCGTGTCTGGTCCGTGTGACCGGATGGAGCTGTTATCTGTCTCTATGGTAACTGATGTTCGGGAGCGCTATAAAAGAAGCGGTGAGAGAGCCAACGAGAGAGAGAACGAGAGAGAGAGCGATAAAGAGAGCGAGAGAGAGAGAGCGAGAGAGAGAGAGCGAGAGAGAGAGACAGCGAGAGAGAGAGAGAGCGCGAGAGAGAACGAGACAGCGAGAGAGAGACAGCGAGAGTGAGAGCGAGAGAGAGAGAGACAGCGAGAGAGAGAGAGAGCGAGAGAGAGCGAGAGAGCGAGAGAGACAGCGAGAGAGTGAGAGAGAGCGAGAGAGAACGAGACAGCGAGAGAGCGAGAGTGAGACAGCGAGAGAGAGAGAGAGAGAGAGCGAGAGAGAGAGAGAGAGCGAGAGAGAGACAGCGGTAGAGACAACTAGAGAGTGAGTGAGAGAAAGTGAGAGAGTGAGAGAGAGAGCAAAGAGGAGAAGAGAGTGGGAGAGTTTCGGAGAGAGTGATCCAGAGAGAAATAATAATAATAATAATAATAATAATAATATTCCTGGCGTTATCCCAGCGCTTCGCGGGACACATTGGAAAGCGCAGTGACTGTGTGTGTTGTGGGAGTCACAGGGGGAGAGAGAGAGAGAGAGAGAGTGGGGGAAAGAGAGATCAGGAGAGAGTGAGGGAGGGAGAGAGGGATCAAGAGAGAGAGTGGGAGGGATTGAGTGAGTGAGTGAGTGAGTGAGTGAGAGATGGAGGGAGGGGTTGAGTGAGTGAGTGAGTGAGAGAGAGACAGAGAGGAGGGAGAGAGAGGGGAGGGAGGGAGTGAGGGAGGGAGGGATTGAGTGAGTGAGTGAGTGAGAGAGGGAGGGAGGGTTGAGTGAGTGAGTGAGAGAGAGGAGGGAGGGATTGAGTGAGTGAGTGAGTGAGAGAGGGAGGGGTTGAGTGAGTGAGTGAGAGAGGGAGGGAGGGAGGGAGAGAGAGGGGAGGAGGGAGGAAGGGATTGAGTGAGTGAGTGAGTGAGTGAGGGAGGGAGGGGTTGAGTGAGTGAGTGAGAGAGGGAGGGAGGGGTTGAGTGAGTGAGTGAGTGAGAGAGGGAGGGAGGGAGGGAGGGAGGGAGGGAGAGAGAGGGGGAGGGAGGGAGGATTGAGTGAGTGAGTGAGTGAGTGAGGGAGGGAGGGAGGGTTTGAGTGAGTGAGTGAGTGAGTGAGAGAGGGAGGGAGTGAGGGATGGAGGGAGGGATTAATTGAGTGAGTGAGTGAGTGAGAGAGGGAGGAGGGAGGGAGGGAGAGAGTTCTGTCCTCTGTCTCTCCGACACAGTCACCCCCACACCACCCTCCTACACAGCAGATGTTGTCTTGTTTTACCGGCCTCCGGCAGCGAGAAGCACATCCCCTTCAATCAATAATAATAATTGATAGCAATAAATAAGTAATAATAACGATAATAGCCCTCGGGTTCCATTCAGCGCCGTATCACGTCTTCGAGACGACGCCTCAGAGCGCTTCTCGCAGGATAGACGCTCAAGTGGAGTGACCGAGTGTGTTGTGGGCGCCGCGCGATACCTACTGAATAACGGCAATTCATCATCGTCAATCAATCAAATAAAAACTGAATTGACGCGTCGCCAATAATCACGGATTGTCAATCAGAAACACGGAGCGAGGAATGAGGTCAGTGTGACTGAGAGAGTAACCCTTTCAAATGGAGCGATGATCTCAGTGTTTGTTTGAGGCTAATTGTTTTTTTTTTCAAACCTCAAACGCAGGTCGTTTGAATAATGAGCAAATTCTCTCTCTCTCTCTCTCTCTCTCTCCCGTTCTGTCTCTCTCTC